AACGCCGTTACCTCGTCTGTAACGGTAACGGTAACGTCCCCATACAGCACATGATATTCGGGGAACGTTCTAAGAATGTTCTAGAATATTCTAGGGGACGTTACCGTTACCGTTACAGACGAGGTAACGGCGTTACAAGTAACGCGTTACTTCCCAACCCTGGATAACGTTAATATTATAATTTCCTACTGAACAATATAAATGTAATATAATATTTATGTTGTCGATGAGCGCACACTTTATCATCTTTTCATTTTATAAAATGAGAGGAGAACGTTCTAAGAATGTTCTAGAATATTCTAGAACATTCTTAGAACGTTCCCCGAATATCATGTGCTGTATGGGGTCGTTATATTTTTACAGTAACGGTAACAAATTCGGCCGTTACTTTTATCGTTACTTTAGTTCCCTATTATCTTTTTTGTAACGTATTATGATATTCTTTAGATTTTTCAAATTTATATTATTTCTCATATTTTCCAAATGCAGCCTAATAGTCTGTATTGCAACGCTACTTGATAGTCTCGTAATTTCCGATATTGCCGGTATCGTTCTTCTTCGTCCATGTTGTCCATGTTCAAAGTGTATCTTCGCGACCTCCAACGTGTCTCTTAACGCTATCACTCTAATCCACGGTAATTTCTATTCCTATATAAATATATTAAAATAAACCACAAATTTGATAATAATTTTGTAATATGTAAAGTACTTCAGATTTTAATAGATGAGAATATATGACATCCGATAAGAATAAGATAAGATAAGAAAAAATGTTGCAAATTTTTCTTATATATCTCTTGGGTGTCTTTACATTCTCAAATTTTATTTATTAGGTTGTTCGAAAAGTTCGTTTCAAATTTCCCATGTATTGTACATATACAGGAAATTTAAAACAAACTTTCCGAACAACTTATTAAAATCTTAAGTATCCTGTATATTTGTATAAATAACGCATAATAAAATCAATATTACAAATACATTGCACCGTGTCATTGTTGCAATATTACATTGTAATATATCTGAGGGAGGACATTTCGACGTTGCTTCAAGCTTGCAGCAACGTTGCTGAAACATTTCGCAACCTCCATGCAATGTTACAATGTTGCAGTGAAAGGTGTATGCAATGTTTCTGCAATCTTTCGGTGCTGTATGGGCAACCTTGACGTTACGTATCTCTAATAAAATAACGCCTTTACAGTTGATTCCACATAATCCCTACAGCAGATTTATCTCGAGTGGCTGTTGTATTCGATATTTTTATTAAATATTTACATTATCAAAATATTTATAACAATTGGATGTAACAATTTCTTAATGTACAGGAAATATTTGCAAAAACTTAAAAATTATTACAACCCATTTCTTTGATTTTTTCAGACAGAAAATATGGCATCTTATGACCGTTCCTATGAGAAGAATGAAGTCCAATATCAGAGAGTACATGTAGGGAAAGATCATGTAGATTTCTCGTACCAATTTTTCAAGAACAGCAGTACCAGATATGTCAGTACATCAGAAGTATTTCAGGAGTACATCAGAAAGAACAGTTCTAGCAAAAAAAATTGTAGAAAATATGTCTAAGATCTTAATTGAGGATCCTACCAAATATATAAATTATTATCATTATTTCCACTCATGTTTTATGGCAAATGCATTGTTTTATATTATTCGTCCTTATTTTGTTGAAATTAAACGTAATATAACTTTATGTTACTAGATTTTGTAATGTTCGACATGTTTTGATTTTTTTAATACAGAGTTCTCGTAATTACAAAATCTCAACATCCTGGCAGGAACGATCACCAGCGATATATTTACTAAAAAAACCATACAATGATAGCAGCGATTTTTATATTTGCATTGGTAAGTAACAATTAAATTGATAAATATTGTCAAAGAATATATGTTTCCGTTCAGAACTGTTTATAATTTAATTTACTATTAATTTTGAAGATCTCGTGTTTGATGAAGCCGTATATCCGATCAGAGTCTCTATATATGAAATGCGTTTTCCTTGGTATAACACTAAAATTTGGGCTCACAATTCTCAAGAAAATCGGTGGTTTCCATTATGGACTGGTAAATGTCAGACTTTTTTACCAGATAAACCACAGCTATTTTCCCCGCCTTTGCAGTTTTGTGACTTTAAAACCAAAAGGCTTAAATTAACATTTTTGTACAACTTTCTGCCATATAAGACTTCTGGAATATATTTATCAGATGTGATGCTTATCGGTACATCAAAATTGATCCTTTCTAAAAATTCAGAAGGAATTTTCACTAGTATATTAAAAAGTGTGAAGAACCATCATTTGATCAATGATAATTTTACGCCTATTGATGAACATGCACACTGGGATATAAGGCATCTCCGAAAGAATTTTTCTAACTACTGTACCATTTATACGAGGTATTATAATCACTTACGTTATAAATAATATTTAACCTTTTTATTCCCCATAATAAAGAAAATAAATTTGTTCCAATGTTGGCAGCAACTCGCATTCGAATCATGCACAGATTACAAAATATTCTAGACTTTCTTTGGATAATTCCGAGAAGCACACACGTTGCGGTTTTTCTACGCTGCCTGTAAAGTATTTTTTAAATTTATTTTTCATAATATTTTTTATATTATATATAAATGAAGTTACTTTATATATTGAAATTTTATATTTTATAATCAATCCATTGTTTCGACATAACTGGCTATATTTAATTTGTTACAATAACAACGTTTCGACTGCCGATCGCAGTCCTCTTCAGGTTAATTTACGAGACATGTATTTACGGTATACATTATTGTGGTAGCAATAAGTATTATACGTAATGTTCGTCAATTAGTTAGTTCGGTTCTTTGAATTCGCACTGCGCACACCTCAGTAGTTCAGATAATAATGGACATTATTATCTGAACTACTGAGGTGTGCGCAGTGATCTGCTTGATATTCCCAGATGTACGGACACATGGATCCTACTTATTGCTCGAATTCAAAGAACCGAACTAACTAATTGACGAACATTACGTATAATACTTATTGCTACCACAATAATGTATACCGTAAATACATGTCTCGTAAATTAACCTGAAGAGGACTGCGATCGGCAGTCAAAACGTTGTTATTGTAACAAATTAAATATAGCCAGTTATGTCGAAACAATGGATTGATTATTGATTTAATTACTGGTGAACAAAAACATTACCAACAACATTTTTATATTTTATGTTTACAGGATGAAATGATACTAAAAATATTGAAGTACTTAGATATAAAATCGTTGTGCCATATGAGCACAATGAATAAACATTTTAATAACTTAACACGAGATAGTTCTCTATTTAAGTGCTTGAATTTACTAAATTTGCACGATAGGTCTTCTGTGTATAAAGACAATATTATATCATACTTTTCATCCAGATGTAAATATTTGCAAAAGTTGGATCTCACATTAAGCGATATTTCCTCTTCGGAATTAAAAAAATTTCTCGAAATTTGCGGTGGGAGTTTAACGCATTTACGATTAAGTAACTGCACATTGTATAGCAATGTTTTAGATGAAATTGCGGCATTATGCAATAATTTGCAAGGTATAATATTAATAATTAAGTTAATTCCTTTATTGTGAGTAAATTGTATGACTAATTATATGTATATATCTTTCTTTTTTAGTATTGGATCTCAGTTATTGCATTTTTGAAGATTTACTTAATGAACCGATATTGTCTGCAGATGTTACACTTCGTGTTTGCAAATTATTACAAAGAAATCCTCGAATATGTAACTTAAATTTGAACGATGTTGGATGCCTATTTGAAAATATCGTCGACTTCTATTACCTGCCTGGATTCAATTGCATGGACTCAATTGCCATACAATTGAGGCATTCTTGCGCAGACTTGGAAATACTAAATATATCTGACTGTTCAATTACATCGCTAGGTATTGATGCTCTCGCCGAGTGTAAAAACTTACGGAAACTGAACATTCCAAATATGTACGTATGCCATGTTTTCTCTTAAAGTACGTATTATCATAAACAGTTTTAATTAAATTTTGTATCTTTATCTCTCTTGCAAGTATCACGTAACAGCTATGTTGTTTTCTCTTTTTGATTGAGAAACCGTAGTAATAGCATGGTTTTAGTTGCAGGAACGATGGAACAATCGATACAAGTTGCTTGAGTAGAATGTTTTCCACCTGCCAAAGTTTGGAAGAAATTAATATGAAGTATCCCTATTATGATGCCGACAAATTTCTGACGCTGTGTAAAAACTTGAAACAAGTATATTTGGAAGTGTTACCTCTAACCGTGTTAACACTTCCCTTGCAGTGTCCAAAATTGCAAAAGATTTCTTTTATGGAAGGTGACGAAGAATTAATTCACCGGATGGAGCAAGAATATCCACATGTGTCTTTGTGTAAATTAGAATATTAAAATAATTTTGATATACATGTACATAATAAATAATTATAATTATATACAATTTACACACAAATTATTTGTATGTTTTTATTAGAGATGTAAAGAGAACATTAGGAAAAAACAGCAGCCAGTAACATATTTTCCTTATCCTATTATGCAATTTGTGTGAGAGGGGAAGACAAGGTATATTATATTGTCAAATTAATAAAATTGGTATGGCTCAAATGCGTTCAACACAAGTTGGAGGAATAAAGGACTACGAGCCGTGACAGGGTGTAGTATGTAAATATTTTATTCTAAATTTATTTTATATTATATTGTGTTGCTGCTATCAACAAATATTATTTGCAAAGTTCTCATTACATCGAAATAATCGCGAAGCGTGTGAAATTATCGACATTTGACTATCGACATCAAATTGACATCAAATCGACATTGATCCGATGTATAATTTCTCACTGGGGAAAACAATTGTTTTTTGAAAGGACATATAAAAGTGTAATTATTTTCTCGTTTTATTTATTTTTCTTTTTTGCGTTTTCTCTACCTATTTCTCTGCCCGTTGTCAGTAAACTATGTGACGAAGAAAACACCTCAGATCTCCTATCTTTCTGCTTGTCAATAGGAATGTTCCGTACGTTATGTAGCTATTACTTGATATTTACTAGAATACAGGTTTAAATTAATATTTAAAAAATATATTTAAAATATTTTAAAAAATATTGTCTGGGCGATAAAGAAAATATTTGGAAAATATTCGTGGAACATTCTTCTTGCACTACTATAAATCTTTTTCGAATGTGAATAGAATAATCTATCGAATATAGCGTGTCGGTTATATACAGGGTGTCGGATTCGATTTGGACCACTCCAAAGATTATAGTAGATTGGGTCAAACTGAAAAGAATAAGTTATATGCCATTTTACAAATCCGTAATTATTATCGCGTAAAGAAAAACGTCTGAGCCAATAAGTGCACGGAGGAGCTGAAGGCCGGACTCGGCGGACATGCAAAATGGTGTATTATTCTCCTACCACCAGAAAAACTTTTTCGGCGCGGTGTCATATGTCGCGCGTTCGCTCGCTGCGCGCCGTTCGCCCGCTCACCGCTCCCCGCTCGCCGCCGTCTATCATCGATCGATGCGTGACTCCACCTCTCGCTATCGGATCTTGGAGAGATGTCAACAAATACACCATTTTGCATGTCTGCCGAGTCCGGCCTTCCGCTCCTCCGTGCACTTATTGGCTCAGACGTTTTTCTTAATTACGCGATAATATAATTACGGATTTTGTAAAATGGTATATAACTTTTCTTCTCAGTTTGACCCAATCTACTATAATCTTTGGAGTGGTCCAAATCGAATCAGACACCCTGTATGATCACTGGTTTCACTGCCTTTTGCATAAGATAAGTGTATTGCACAATAAACAATGTGCAATACATAAACTCAATGAATATAAAAAAATTATTCTGAACGAATATTCCAAAGACATTCTCGACGAATATTCTAAAAACGTTCTTCTCCGTTATGATTAATATAATTAAGCCTCGTCTACATAGAAGTCGTAAAGTCGTAGCCGTAAGGCCCGATCAGATTATGGATTGAGATTGAGTTTGAATTGAAATTTGCCCAATTAGGGTAAAAGTCACTAAAGCCCGCTGCAGACGATGCTATTTTTCCTGCTGGATTGCTTGCAATTTAGTAAATTACTAGGAATCCTGAATGCTGCGTGGTGCAATGATAGTAATTTACTAAATCGCAAGCAATCCAGCAGGAAAAATAGCATCGTCTGCAGCGGGCTTAAGGCTGAAATCACATGATGCGGAATAGGAGTACGGAATAGAGAATGCGTTATAGAAGCAACCAATCAGAGCCAGACATTTCCGTCACTCGTTGATACGGCAAAGCTCTGATTGTCTGTTTCTATAACGCACTCTCTATTCCGTACTCCTATTCCGCATCATGTGATTTCAGCCTAAACGCAAGAGCGCTCACCGAGCAAGTTTTCTTCCCGCGCTGAAAACGCGGTCGACACTACCAATCGCTGGTCCAGCGGCTCATATTACGTACCTAGCTCTGCGCTCCAGGCGTACCATCATTCCGGCAGTTGCGATACGAAACGTTCACGCTCGTTTTCACACTGCATGTGACCGCCGGGGCATGAACACGCGCGTCTCGTAATCGGCCCGAATCAGTTTTTTTTTATTTTATTTTAATTGCACGCGACGACAGTGCGATCGACAGCAGTTTCGTTACTTTCGTAGAGCCGTTGTAGCACGCGACCGCGCGAAAATAGTGCCAGGCCGCCATAACGATACCGTGCAAAATATCGCGTGTGGCGTCGACGAACCTGTGCCCACCGCCGAGTACCGACCACCGGAGCTCCGAGCCCCCACGATCTGTGCTATTTTTAATGTTTTGTACCAATTGCGGAAGTGAGGATGGATATTCGAAACGAGGTAAGACAGCGCGGCTGGCGCGCGGCCACGGCAAGACGCGAAAGTGCGCGCTTTTCGCGCGGCCGAGCGTGCCGTTGAGGTTAGGTTCGCTGCGTCGCCCGGGTCCAGTTCGGCGAGCATTTCCCGCTAATATCTCGCCGCTTTCGCGCGCGTCTCGCGCTGTCCCGCGAGCCGATCGACAGGCGGACTCGTCTCGCGCCCGGGCGCAACCGGGCGCCCAGGAGTTTCGTTTTAGGCCCCTCCACGTGCGTCACTAGACGACGCCTCTGCGGAATTCGCTTTCGCGGCCGTTCAACTTGAAAATAATCCGAAAGTTCCTGGTTAACTCGTTCCGACCGCCGACCGCACGCGACCGTAATAACGTTGGATCAGTAGGAAATCGTTTTCTTCGAGTACCACTTGATTTGCGACTCGCTTCTGTGGCGCTCCATAAAATGGCTGCATTTCAGAGTTTGCTGTTACGTTCTCGCTTGTGCTTTTGTGACACGCTACGCCTCACCGAGCGTGCCTTAAGTTTGTACCGGGAGAAATAACGATCTTTTTAGTCGATCTACTCTCGGAGATATTTTGCAGGAAATTGCGTCGTTACAACATCGTGTTGTCTGTCGGAGACAGCCAGTGCATCTTCCCGAATCGACTTTCATCGGTTGCTACTTATCCACTAAAACGCTCTTTCAGCATTGACCGAAGATCTTTTCTATATTATTTGTCGCAAAAAGATATCGGCGCGAACGTGAATTGATAACGTTGCTCGTCCAGGAAAGCGGGAAAGATTCAGACTTGAATCCTGACTGGAATCAGGACGTTAAGATGTTAGTCCCAGTCTACAATAGAGATTTAAACCCTAAGCCTTAAGAAATTGACTAATCACAATCGCGTATTCTACTCGTACTTGACCGTGATTGGTCAATTTCTTAAAGCTTAGGGCTTAAATCCTCTATTGTAGACTGGGACTAAGGTGGAACATTGCGCGTAGAACCAACTTTTGGCGGCAAATTGTTCACTGGGGATGCTCTCCAGCAACGTTACACAGCCGACACTGTTTAACATGCCGATCATTTTATCTTTGCCATTACAAACAGGGGTGAAATAATTGTCTGCGTTAAGCGGGGCGCACACACTTTTGCACGAGCGCATAAGCATATACATAACGAATTTGGTCTATAAGCAAATGCATAAGGAAATGAGCCAATCAAATTCGTTATGCGTATGCTTATGCGTTGCTTATGTCATGCTCAATTGTGTCTCTTGCTCTGGAAAGCACTCTGGTTCTTGCTGAATTCAACCGTAGTGATTTGCAGTTTGAAGGTTGGGGCAAATTTCTGATTAGTCACGAGTGCGCATCCATGGGAATGTTTTATATTTTACATCCAGTCTGCAATGAGTCGTTAGTGAAAAGTCAGAACTATTATGTCGGTCCCTATTCTTCTACCCAGAAAGGAAAAGGGTGGGGGACAACTCATTGTTGGCCGGGCCATACATAAGGACTGAAAATGTATTTTTCGTAAAATATATTTCCTGCAGGTTTATGAGTATTTCGTGGAATTTTAGTGCATGCCGACGTCAGTAATATCGAATTGTGCAACAACTTGCGCACCGTGAAGGCATAATTAACTCTAATTTTGAAACCTAGGACGTTTCAGAAAGAAATAAAATCGGCGCATAAATGCATGGCATAAATGCAAACTTAATAAATTAAGTAAAGTGCAGCCTTGAGACTCGACGCGATAAGCACGTTCAACTTTGGCCCAGTTCTCGAAACAAAGATATAATAAAAATTAAGAAAAAATCATTTCGAATGACACCTGAGAAAGGACGAGACCTTCGAATCGAGGGGAAAACCGCTGACCAATCTTGTACACCAATGCCCACTAATGCCCAGTGGGCATTGGTGTACAAGATTGGTCAGCGGTTACTTTACCTTATCTTTATAATGCCCCAGGCAAGGCCTAATGCCCAAAAAATGCCTAGTAATGTCCAGTAATGCCGCAAATCTGTACACCACAATGCTCTCAGCGGTTTCCCCCTCGCTTCGAATGCGAGAAAAGATGGGTGTGCTTGCCACAAATTACTTGAAATTACTACAAATATAAACAAATTTAACACTAATGATAGAAACGCTTTACGCAGTCGGGCTGGATCTTAATGTCTAATAAGTTTTGCGTATACGTACATCTTTTTTCCAGCACAGCAAATTATGCGCCGACAACTAGTAGGTCCACTCTCTGTCCCTTTGATCTTTGCGGTCCCGATCACATGCACAGTTGGAAAATTTTTGTTAAATGTTTAACACATTCATGTGTTAATTTAACATATTGCTCTTGTGTTAATTGACCTCAAATGTGAAATTATTAAAATAGCTGAAAAGCAATGTTAAAACAACACAATGTGTACTTATTTTTTAATCTTACACAATACATACGTTCTATATTATTAGCAACAAAATTTATCTGTTAACATTTACGGCATAAAATGTTGCTTTTATTTTATATAACATAAGTGAGAGTAACTTCGGAATGTCTTGTTTGACTTATTACATCTGTAAAATATAAAAATTACATTTTTTAAAATTCATTTTGTCATATTGTCGTTTAAAATTCGTTTTAAAGAATTATCCTGATATCATTTATATCATTCTTGAAAAATCATAGTAAAACTGCAAAAAATGTAGTTTCGAGAAAAACGCGTTCACGGTTTTAATAGATTTTCAACATCATAAAATATGTTAATTTGGCGCAAAACAGTACTTCTGGATTGTAAAACGTGACGTCGAAGAGTTCTTCGATTACGGGCAGTTCTTTATTATCAGTTAAAAACGTAGAAGTGGATACAGTCTCCTACGTTTCGTGATACGAGATCACACAAAAATTAAAAATAACCATCAATTTACTGGTTCGACAAGTGCGCCCGCATTACAAATGACAATTTTTAAAAACACTGTGGCAATTTATACGTGTACTGTCGCAAGCATTGAAGGAAGCCGCATTATACGCGTTATATAGGAGTCTAGCAATTTCTAATAATGTTGATTCCTCATCTAATACTTGGACCTATATTATAACACGATCGTACGTTTCCTTATTTTTAGATGAATCTTCAGTTTTTAGACTTAAATGATTTAACTGACAATGATAAGCGTCAGATTATTACCATTCTCAAATCTGACGTTACTGAAGCCTTGGAATTACCATGGGACGCTAAAAATGTGGAGGGTAACAACAACAATGTTAATTCTGTCGCAGTGACAGAAATACCCGAAATTCAGCAACACCATTGGTATAATAGTGAGTATCCTGTGTATTCCTATAAATTTTATTATTAGATAAACTTTACCCTGGATTTTTATATAATATCTTTCATAATATATAACTCTAGACATGTTTGAAATACGTATAAATGCTATGGCAAAATATAAAATTAGTCGGTCGAGGCTTTAGATTAATATGATGTGCAAATAAATGTTGAGCAATTTAAACCAAAGCATTTTACTAAAATGCTGAACTTGCCTCGTCTTCTTTGTAGCCATGGCACCGGCGGCCACTTATCAGCAACAGATGATGACTCAAATGTGTAACGACTGGCAGGCATCAATGTATAATGTTTCCGCCAATGGCCACATGCCGCCGTTTATGCCTGGGATGGCGTATGCCCATGCTGGATACAATCTCGGCGCTGAAATTCAAGACATGAATTACAACAGGGAAAATACACGCCGCAGTCGGGGCAGAGGTGTAAGGAGAGACAATTACAGCCGCGCACTTAATCCCGCTAACGAGGTGCAGCCAGGATACATGGGACAGGAACAGGCGCAATATCCGCAGATACCGGTCATGTACATTTTCCCCGACCATTCCGTCTCCACGCAACAGCATCAAGTGGCTACCGGGCAAATCTATTACACATCGCCAATGTACTCGTCGATCCCTCATCCGCATCCAAATGCACCACCAATCTCGTCTAATTCGCATGCACAACCGACTTATCCCCAGCCGCCGAGTCAAGCGCCGCAGATGAACAGATGCGTGCGACAATCGCAACCTGTGCCATCCCAGCAACCGAGTCAAGAACCCGCGAGACAACAACCGGTCGTTGTTAAATCGCTTGATAAACATGTACAAAGCCCTTCTGATAAATCGGCACATCAACTGAACGAGAGTAACTCCTTGCAAGGTAACGTCGTTAACGCCGCTCTTGTAGATATGCCCGCATTAGAATCCTCTGTGAAAAGCGTAGACGAAAACACTGCCAATAAAACTAGTGCGGCTAGCAGTGAGAAGGTTGATGCGAAGCTCCAACACAATATTGTGTGGACTGTAAGTGAGAATTGTAATGGCACGGAGAAAGTTGATGTGCCATGTGTAAATACTACTAATGACGTGAAGGTGAACCAAACTAACGAGACGGACAAGAAGTTAAAAAACGAAACTGTACCCAGTGTCACAACGAATGCCGTAAAGACCTCGCCTAAATCTGTTTCTGTCAAGACGGACAAAAATGAAACGCAGATTGAGGAAAATA